TAAAAAAAGCCTCATCACATAAATTGAAGTCTTTTATCTATATACATCAATAATTAAGAATAGAGATAAAAACAAGAATAAATCATCATAATATATCACATAAAACTCAAAACAATGAATGAATAATCACACGTTAACTTAAGTGAAAATTATTATATTAATCGAAAAATGATTCTGAAACAATCTTTTTGTATCATATTTTGAGATAACTTTTTTGTATCAATTTTTAGTACAATCATTTAAATAATTAGTTTTTTTTATTCATGTGAGACTCGTGATATTGAATGTATCTACTCATTTAATAAAATATGAATGTTATATCAAAAAATAATATAAAAATATTGTCCTTGTGGCATTGTATATATTAATAAACACCTTCATGATTAGATGCTTTAAACTAAAATTAGACACCTTTTAATTTATTCTTTGGGAAAATATAGCACTCTCTCCGCCGTACCATAACTTGGAAACCCGATTAAAAACTTAGAAACTCCCCTCTTTTTTTTCTTTTTTTTTTTTTTTAATTCTTCTTCTTACCCATCATTGCTTCAGCCCTGACTCTCTACAAAGAGTGAGACAAGGGCCAAAATAGGAAGAGGAAAGAGGAGAGCAAGATTGATGCAAACTACAAGTAAAAATCTGTACAAAGAAAAGAAAGAACCAGAGGAAAAATGGAAAAGAAACGAAACAAAGAAATTAAAGGAGAAAACGAAAAACTATGGAAATGAAGAAATTAATACAAAAACGAAAGAGACAAAGGAAACGGAACACAGGAAACAAGGAAGAGAAAGAAACAAAACAAAAGGGTTTAGAGGAAAAGGAATGAAACCTGACCAACTGCATAAGTAGCCAAGTAAACAGAGCATCAGGGGTGTGGTTATGCCACATAACAAAATGTTAAGAACAAACAAATTACAGCATTTTTTTTTCTTTAAATAATTAATCATGGTATATGAAAATATTAGTTAATTTATAAAATGATTTTTTCTTTTTTCTATCATAAATATATCATTGCCTATTAAAAATGCTGCTTAATACTGCTATTATAATGGGGTTTTTGGGGCAATTCCATTATACATTAGTATCTGTTCATATGGGAAGGGTACTATGATGGGATTGTGTTAGCAGCACTTAAGTGCTTACGATCTGCCTTTGGTTCTCTCTTTGATGTGGTCCTAGACAGAATTTTCAGATGGTCTAATACCTTGGACCGAGAATAATGTCTTTGTTTCAGGCAGCAATCGTTTTTTGCAGAACTTTTAGATTTCCAAGAAACAGTTTCCAATTCGGTCGACTTTCAACTTCTTAGAGTTTTTTTTTTTTTTTCTCATCTTTTATATCATATTTCTTTTTTAAATATCTCCTCATTTAATTTAAATAAAATTTAAATTTAAAATTTAAAATCTCTAAATAAAATCTCAATAATTGAGTTATCTCTTTCAAAACATCTCTTTTAAGAATTAGATCTAAATATTATATCCTCATCCTCTAAACCCCACTAAACTGCCTTGTATTAGAAGGAAATGCTACGGTAGGTGCTCAAATTGGATTTCACCATGATTTGAACAACCCACAAATTAAGGTGTTGACAAAGAAAGTCAAAAATCTTGTGCCAGAAAAGTATTGTATCTTATTGGCGGCCTAATACCCTCTTTTACTCCTAAGCACGAGCATAAAAAGCTTCAGAAGGAAAAATTCACCGGTAAAATTCTCATGTCTTGCCTCCTTAGCTCGGTTCAATTAGTTCCGTTAAGCCCAATCTCAAGTTAAAAGACACTCTAAAGAATAAAAGGAACTAAGATTGAGAGAGTTTCTATCTGATGAATCATAAACTAACTAGAGTTATCACATGAAAAAAAGAAATTTTGGTCGGAGCTTCACCCAAATTGAAAACAAGTAAAGGGACATGAGAGCTCCAGCTGAAGCCTCGGGTTTTCAACTTGGGCGAAATTCTCTGTTAGTTCCACTTAAATTCCGGTGTTTCTTTTCATTTTTGTTACTCCCGTTTTTCATAGCTAAGAGTACTATTTAAAAAAGTTAGCAAGTTATCGGTCCACTCCCTCACACCAAATTTGGGCCCAAGTACTACACATTTTCTTGTTACTAGACACGGTGAGGAAAGGGATTTCTCTTTTTTTTTTCTTTTTTTTTTTTCTTTTTTTTTTTTCCTTTTGCATAATGAAAGTAAGTATCTTACATCTCTTATCCCACCATACCCACATGCTAAACGATTCGAACTCAAAATTTTTTATTTTCAGTGAAAAGAAATAATAACTAAATTACAACTAATGAATAGGAAAGAAATTTCTCTTAAATTCTTTAATGTTGATGACTTGATGTGAATCATATGATAATTTACATTGGAGTTTGGTGTTTTGCTGTTGGATAGAGGGACTTGTATCCATTATCATTTATCAGAGGCTTCTCATTATTTAAGTATTGATATTAGTTTGTTATAATTTTAATTGTAAAATATTTTTTAATTTACATTTTATGTGATAACATGTATTTATTTAGTTTAATGCAAATAAGATGACTCAAGATACTATTATTTCTGAAGAAATATATACAGTAATAAAGGATAATGCTCTTTCTTCTCAAACCTCGCTCATCCTTGAATCCTTTCAATTTCCTAATCAGCCAACTTGATACTTTAAATATTAGAATTCAAAGCTATAAATCATTTTAGACCTCCACGCATAAAAAGAAGTTTGGTAGGAAAGTTCAAGGTTAACTATTAGCAACTTTAAATAAATCAGACTACTTTTAAAATTTTAATTTGAATTATAAATAATACTAAACTAACAATTTAAGTAATTTAATAATAATTTTATTTTTAATATAATAAAAAAATATTAAATTAAAATCACATAACATATAATTAAGATGATTCAAGAGATGAAAAAAATATATAAATACCAAAAATTAAATATAAATACCAATAACTATTAATTGTGGAATATAATTAATTAAGATACATGTTATTGCCATCCACAGAATTTGGGATGACCTCATACCAAACACCACCTAAGTTCCTGGGTGAGCTTCGCATCCGAATCCTAATCTCACTTTTTCCCCTTAATCCTCGTGTCTTCGTTACCATATAAATCTCCTTTCACCAAAATTAACGTTGCGCGTGGCACCAATATAAATATTCTTGCAACGGCTGATATCTTGCTTCCCACAAACCTAACTAACTGAACTCTCTCCCGCCAAACGCGCCGCCATGATCCACTCGGGCCGACACACGTCACCGCCCCTTCCAACTGCCTCAGAAAACCACTCCTGTTCCTCCACCTCGCCGCCTTTCCATTACAACGTCCTCCTGTCCTGGGTGCCCATTTCATATCATATGCGGTAACGCTATAATTACAATATCGCATAGAAGTATAATCTTATAATCTTAAATGGTATTTAATGAAATATAATGTTGTATTAAACAAATAAATGTATATAATATTATGAATTGATTTATAAATAAAAAAATTAAATTATATAATAACATATCATATTATACGTTTATAATATCACGTAACATTGTAATTATAATATTTTGACTTCATATATTATATTGATATTGTATTTTATCTACTATGTATCCACAAATTTCAAATTCAATTCTTAATTTTTATGCACCAAAAACAATAAGTTTTCCACGTGCCTATAATCAAAAGAGACCCTAATACTCTCCCGCAATATTCCCCACGTGTAACTGTGTTGGTTCCCTCTTAACTCCTCCTTTATATGAACTTCTAAACCCATCCTTTCGTCTCAACATTTTCTTAATTAGAAACAGAAAATCACTATTTTTTTTTTTTTTGAAATTCATCCTCATAAGGAAAAGAGAAAGAAAAGCGAGAAATGAGTCCTACACAATTTCATGATAGTGGAAGCAGATCAGATCAGCTGTGCCCGACTGCATTGAAGATCAAGAAGGATTCTCATTTCATCAGCAAGTCATCACCTTTGTTATCGTCGACGTCCTCGTCGTCCACCGTCAGCGTAGTGGGCTCTACCAAGCCACAGCAACACCGCCATCCGGTGATCATCTACACCCACTCTCCCAAGGTCATCCACACGCACCCTAGGGATTTCATGGCGCTGGTGCAGAAGCTCACCGGTCTATCAAGCAAGGATGCGGTGGAGCAAACATCGTCACAGAGAAAACCCGAAAACGCCAATTCTTCGCCAGAGGATGATGTTAAGAATTCCAAGAACAGCGGTAACGGTGATATTGAACCGTCCTTGGTGAGTACTAGGGATAATGAGAACTGTGATGGGCAAATGAATTCATGTTTTTTGCCTCCAATTTGCTTCGATACTCCTCCTCCTCCTCCAGGTTCTTTCTTAACAAACGCTCCGGCAGTGTTCATGCCAAACTCTGGAGATTTGTTATGCACGAAGACTTTTTATAATTACGCTGATTCATTCTATTTAGCACCAAATATGACGACGACACTTTCTTCATCTTCTGCCTTGGATGACATGAACGCGTTTCCGAATTACTGAGTTCTTCTGTGCTTCTTTTTTTTTTTTTTTTCCTTAATAAATTTTGGAATAAGTTGTCTACAAATTTTTCTTTTTTTTTTTTAAGATAGAAATTTAATTTATTTTTTGTGCTGAATAACGGCTTTTCTTCGTGTCAGGAATAAAATTTTACTTTAGACTTTTGTTTCACTTTGCTTTTGCTTGAGTTTTTTCAACCATATTTAGTTTAAGGAACAGCTCTTGAAAAGAAGAATGAGTGAAAGGGAATTTATATAGGAACAAATTTGTTTTTAGTGGCAATGTTACTGAATTATCTACCGAGTAATGCATCTGATGAGTAATGGCTCTTGTCCTACAAATGTCTAAAGTCATCATAATTGAGCTAGCATTGAAAAGGCTTGGGGTGGTGGAGTCCTCAAATATGTGTAAACCTTTGGGCATAAGGTAGAATCAAGAGGCCATGGTATCTGCACTTGTTCATAATTTGCTTCTCGGTAAAAATGGACAATTTGCAGCAGCACTCCCTTTCCAAAGTAATTTTTTTGCTGTTTTAGGTGGTGGGTTGTTTTTTTGGTATTAACTTCTCTTTATCCGATAAT